ATTTACTTTAAAACTTATTTTAAAGAGTGTGGATAGATGTGCAGGATACTGCAGGTCTCATTTGGATTCAACCACAATTGCTTAGGTACTTGTAAACATTTTTTTTGCTGAATTACACCAATTTTTGAAGGATTTAGTTTGAGACTTAATGGGGAAAAAAACATGCATTTTCTTCATTACCAATACCCTAGCGGTGGATGATATTTATTCTTTCTCATTACATTTATACTTTTAAAGTTCTTATTCTCAGTGTAAATTTTTTCATCTTTCAGTAGTGAAAAATTCCAGACGAATTTAAACATGAGTCATCGTATGGCAGCACACGAAACTGTGACACATATAAACACAGTAAACATTTTATATTTTAGCACCTTGCCCGGTTTGGTAAAATAAGTTAAAGTAATTAATCAACCAAATCATGAACTGTTATAAATCTCAAACCATTAACAGCATCTTTTAGCTTAAAACAATGTGGATGACATTTCAAATAACATATGCAAACAGAGCAGCTTGCTAATTCTATTTAATTTAAAACCTTCCCAGTAAGTTGAAGAGCCTCAACTTTTCATCGTCTTAGACTGCACACTAAAAAAGTTTGCCTATGAAACATTTTTTCAGAAATGTTTTTCTTTTGGTAATAAATAAAAAATAAATTTAAGTCTGGTTTACCCCTCAATTTCTCTTATTTTTCTTACATTTATTCAGGTTTGAGTATGTCTTCCTACTATTGGCGAATGTACAAAAAACTACCCAAAAGTCTGAACCAAAAACTTTTTAAACTGTACCAAAAGCAAAGCAGCTGAAAAACACTAACACATTAGTAAATATATATTTTTTCCATGATCATGTTTTAATAACTTTAATTAATCCAACATTATTTTTATCCGGTGCAAACTGCTCTGGGTAATTATATTTCTGGACAGATTATAGCATATTTCTCATGTTTTATGGTGCTATTAAACATTTCAGAAGGAAAGTCTGAATATGATAACATGTCTGCCAGACCAAAAAAAAAGAGAAGAAAAGAAACCTAACAGATTAATTAAGTGATCTCTCTTGCTTTTTTCCTTTTATTCTGTTCTCTCTCTTACTCCAATGTTCCAGTTCAGTGAACTGCTATTTCTGACAGAAAACCTATAACATTAAAACATGTCCGTGTAACCACTAGCCTGTGGCTACAACACTGGGGAACAAGTTGTAATGTGTTAAAGCCTGGGGCCAAACTTTCAATAGAAAATGGAAACACCAATCATTTTCACCAAATATTTTGGAATTAGTGTTAAAATGTGACTTCTTGGTTGAACAAATAACAAAAGTTTTATTTCTGAAATGGAACAGACCTATAAAGGACATAAACAAGTGTTAAATTATATTCAGCAGTAATTATATCTGGAAGGACGAAAAAATACATACAGAAAGGTGATAAAAAATAAATGTGAGATGAAGTAATTAGTACAAAAACATAAGAGTACTTTTATTATTGTTGCAGCTGTTTTAAATAACAATCTAAGATCTTTCAGCTAGGAATATTTCAACATACATACAAACACATATAACCATATCCACAAATACTTGACAGTAACTTTGTATAAATTTTAGAAAAAAAAAAGAAAAAGTTTGTTTTCAGGATCTTATTGCAACATAGAGAACAGCTTCTGTCAAATAAGTCCAGATGTACAATCTTTGTGGTCAGCATGGTATTGTACTGTAACAGCTATCATGACCGATAACACCTCCGCCATTTATAATGATTTATTTAGAGGGGACAATGCATTTACATAGTATACATACTAACATAATACTAACTCTTGCCAGGACCAGCACAGCTACTTCCTTCCCTACATTATTTTTATTCTCTATTATAAAAATAATTATTTAATTATATCTAGCCTCCAGCACCAAATCTACTCTTACCTCTCCCTTACATATGCCCACCCCCATCCACCATGGCCCTGTCCATCGACACCTACCCATACACAAAGACTTAGAGTGGTTAGGCCATGTAAAACCAGTCTGTTGATGAGGGGCACAAAGGATATGATTTTTAGAAAGGTTTGTTTGCATAAAATTGGGCATAAACTTGATGGCATGCGTAAAGCTGATCTACTAACTAGCTAAGTAGAATTGCATCTGTGACAAAAGCAAAGTAGTGCAGTTCCTTTGCCTTTATGAGTATGGAGAACATACACTGATCAATAGAAGATACAAACAGCTGAGAGGAGTATATGCACATTTAATTCCTTACCATACACACAGTAATCTATTAAACCTGTAAAAGGTGCTGTTTTTGTGTCTGTATTCAGCAAAACTAAATGTTGGTTGCAAATTTAAAAACAAAACGCTCTGTGGTCATTGTAGCCTCAGCTTCACTGGCAGATGAGGAAGAGAATATTTGTGTGAATATGAACATATTTGGAGAGAAGTGACCATAGTTGGATAATGTTAATAGGGGGAATATTTATATTTAGGATAGAATAATGCAGTGTGATGCAAACAATCTTTATTCATTTCAGTAAAATGAAATAGACTTGGAACGGAACTTAAGTATTGCAGCATAGCAAACAAAGAAAACTGATTTTTAACAGCAACCAAAGTTCAAGAATCCAAAATAGAACCTGTAAAGACACATAAAAGTGTGAAGAAGAGTTAAAAACATTTCACACTTGCCTAAAAATGAACACGCCAATCTTGTGGGCAAGATAGATTTTTATTTTATCTTTCCTCTCCCTCAATGTTTCTTTATTGATAGGATAGTTATGTTTTATTTAATCAATATCACCTTACATTGGTTTGCAATGCTTTGCATCAGGTAGGGGTTTTCAGGGGTGGATGAAGATAAACACAGCTGTTTAAAGCTTTGCTGTAAGTCACAGCTGTAAGTCTGACAGCTGCTATCTGGACTGGTTGTCAGAAAGAGTCAAATTTTCCAGATTTTATGATTTATATCTAGTCTTTTAACTCTAACTTTTAGCTTTTACATGTTAGTAGATTTGTCCTTGTTATGTGGTAGATTGAGATATTTTAATGTAAAGTACATTATGACTATTTATTAGAACCTTTTTTTATTATCAGATTATCATATGATCAATCATAATATAACCTCCAACTTATTTTCTTCATAGCTCATCTTTCTTTCTGAGCCATGCTGCTTCCCAGTAGCACAAACAGTTTTCTCAGATAAATAGAACAGCCAGAATAACTTTTGTAAATCCCCCTCAACATGGCCACCATTTGCATGGGCCATTTCCTTCTGCCGAGTGACTAGCTACAGATATCCAAACTTCATATAGGGTAAAATAATTTAACATCATTGCCCAGAGAATGTCTTTCAATGTGTTTCTGAAGCCAAGAAATTGCACCCAAGCCTTCCATCACAATCCACTTATGTATACACAATCCAAAGCATAGTGTGGGTAGTGTGAAGAATAATGTTTGAGGCTAAGGGTATTATGGCGGAGGACCGTGTTTTCAGAAGTGAGGCTTGAACCTAGTTAGTTTTCATGTGAAATTATTCATTTGGCTTTTCACTGCCTCCTACATCACTCTGACTTCCCAGCAACCAATGTCAGGAACCTGTTTGTAGACTTAAGCTCTTCCAGTTGAGTTTCCCTCACTCCACCTGCAGGTAGATCACAGACTTCCTGGTAGACACAAAGCCCTACATCAGGCGTAGGTAACCTTATTCCTCGACGTCACTGTCCTGCAGGTTTTGCATGCATCCCTGCTCCAACACCCCTGAAACTAATGGCCAAATTACCTTCTTGACATGTCGGTAATTTTAGCAGAGGCCTTGCCATTACCCAGTAATTTATTTCTGGTGTGTTTAAAAAGGGATACATGCAGAAGCGGCACACAAAGAATGAGGTTGCCTACCCCTGCCCTATATGAAGCTGGGTAAATAGATCTTGGATTTCAGGACCATCAGCAACGAGCTGATGGTCCTGACTTCAGGAGCATTATCAAGCTCCTGAAGTTTGTAGGTGACACCACCCTCACTGGGCCATCCTATAGGTGGGAGATTCATCTATTGAACTGCTGTAGCCAGAACAGTCTGGAGCTCACCACTCTTCAAACAGTGGAGATGGACAAAGACAATGATGGTGCACTTCTGCTTATTAAGTAAACACTTTACTCCATCATCATCTCTTTTGGTGCTCCCATCATCAGGGACAAAGGTGCAGGATATATTTCGTGTTGCAGAGAGGGTGATTGTCTAGAAATGCCCTACTGTTCCTGAATTGCACATCTCAGGAACCAAGAGGTAAGCAGAAAAGTTTGTTGATGACCACTGCCACCATTAACACATACTGTGTTAGACTCTCCCCTTTGGCAGGAGCCAGGAGGCTACTGTCAATCACAAAAAAAACGGCTTCTAACCATCAGCTAGTAGCCTCATTAACAAGACCCAGTTCCTCTTCTGACAATGTTGGAGGAAAACAAAACAAAGAAAGAACACAAGAAGAAAAAACAAACATCTAAGTGTGTATATACATAATGTGTATATAAATAATATATAATCTAATTTTATTAAATTGCCATGATATTGCCACTGTCATTATGCTATTCTTAAACAGCTTGCATTTGCATAAATTTTTATATTTTCATATTTATTTATGTGAACTATGCATTTGCTTGTTTATATGTAGCACCATCACCAATTTACTTCCATGTAAAAACAGACATTTTGTTCATAGGGTATTTCTGATTCCAAAAACGTAAGACATGTATCTTAAACTACAGTTTCTTCTTTGATATCCAAAGCTCTATTTTCTTTAAACTTTATTCCAAAATGCTTTTGTTTTTTTTATTTATCCATAGTAAAAATTTTCCACTATCCTGCTATTTATTTAATTATTGTTTGTTTGTGTGTATATTTGTTTATTTACTTATTTGTTTATGCCATATATTAGTGGCAAAACATTTTAGCAAAAATCTCTCTACATCATACTACAGAACACAATGTGTCAAAGGAAAGAAAGTTAAAAAATTTTGTTTCTTACCGGAGGACAGTTGCTCCATGCTCCCCAGGCTGCCACTACACAGTCATTAGGACAGGCTAAATAGCAAACTTGGGCCCTGGGAGGCATTTCCTCCTGATCACACAGACTGACGTCTATGCTGGCATCTTCCCGACTAGCTGTTCCCTTCATCACACACCTAGAGAAAAACACCAGAAGCACCTTCAGAACAAGTCTCAGGAGGTTGTTATACTGTAACTCCGTCCCACTTGGAATATACAGACTCATTTTGAAGATTTTCACATGGATTGCTAAAATATGAAGCTAGCGTTTCCTAAGAGTCTAGTTCATATTAGTCCTTTGAGCTTTCTCTATGTGTTTCTTTATCATAATTAAAGCACGGGTCAACAGATTCCTTTCTTTTTTACAGTATATGAAACTGTGTTAGACTAACACAGATATTAAATAATACATTTTCACTAGATGGAAAAAGATACATTTACTGAAACATTGAATTAATAACCAATCAGTTGATTTTTGCTGTTTGCCATGTGAAAGGACATGTTTGGGTATATTGCTACTTATGTACCTGTATACAAGTTACCCTCTTTGTAAACATGATATGAACACAACTTCACACAATAAACACCCAAGCAGAGCTACAGATGAGGTGTTTACATCAAATCACGTTGTGTTCAAGCATCCATGTTGAGTTTCAGATCGAAATTCAATTAAGAACCTATGGCAAGTATTACATATTCTTGTTCACAGATGCTATTAATCCAATCTGACTGAGCTGCAAGTACTAAATTTTGCAAATAATTAACATTTATTTCTAACAAGTATTGACTCAGCAAAGTAACTGCAGATGTGTGCCAAAGATTTCAGTTTTCTGTTTGTGATAGATGTGCCATCGTTCTCGTTCTATATCAAAATAATGTATGTTGGTCTAATACATAAAATCGTAATAAAATACAGAGGTTTGTGGTTTTAGAGCAATATAATGGTTAAAAAGGTTCAAGAAGGCTCAAACAGAATTTATATTTTATAAGGCATGTATGGAATGCTGTTTTTTTTTTTTTACATGCAAATGTTAAATGTACTCAGCTCAAGTTTGCTTTATGCCATTTAGCCTATAGCTAAACAATCGATCTTTACAGTATACTTAATTCAATTCCCCATTGTCTCTGATGCTATTTGACCGCCATAAAAAAGAAAAACAAAGTACAAACTATCTATCAACATTCATTGTGAGGCATTAGCTTGTCGTGAATGTTTCCCCTTAGTGTGAACTGGCTACAGTTTTCTTGCCAACCCTGTTTCTACTGTTGTATACTGCCAAGTGAAGCAAATGGTTTGCCAACCCGAATCCACTTACTGACCTGATCTTCCGACTCTGGACTCCCTCCCCGCAGGCTGGCAGGTCATCCACAGTGTTGATTGTGCAAATGGACCAGGGTTCGATCTGCCATTCGTACTGGCTGTATTCATTCTGGCATGGCACAGCCTCATACACCTACATGCATGCATAGGCAAGCAGACACACACAAACAACACAGTATATGTGAGCAGAATAAAGGAGAAATACATAAAAAATAGAACCAAAAATGCAGCATCAAAACATGCTTACAAACCAGTTGCTAGAAAACATAAACATACATCAGGCACTGGCATTATATACAGGTAACTTGCAGAAATACTTCAAACCATATTTGTGGAATAATTCATGACATATATGTTCTTGATTTTAACAGCGATCATTTCCCGCTACCTAAAGAATGACCTAACTATCCTAAGCCATCTATATAACAAAGTTCTGCATCCTGTCTTACTTCTGTCCATCATGACTGTCAACTTTAAAATGTTATATAAAAAAAAAAAAGGTCTGTGTCAGTCAAACTTTTTTGTTAGGGGGTTGGATTTAACTTCCTCAAATGTTATTGTAAATAAAGAGTACATCTTAAAAACTAATTATACATTTTTATTTATACTTCAAAATTTCAGAGACACAAAATTTCTTTTAGATTAGATTAAATTCTATCACTATACTATAGACATGTTATTCAATTATTAGTTTTTACTTCAGAAACTGACACTTATATCATCATGAATATACTTGTGTATATCACTATACTGTATAATGGCTTATTTGATTACGGTTATTTTATAATTACTGAAATTAATTGTAATCATATAACTTTGTGCATTTCCTAGGGGGGCTGGTATTAATTTTCTCTGGAATTTTTTACATTGCACTGTATGGTTGTATGCTAGCTGACTGCTGGCTTGCAGTGCTAACTAAGTGGGTCCTAAATTTGATAAGCAGATATACAAAATAAGAAATAAATATATTTTAACATGATTAAAACAATCTTCATTATATTTGAGTTCACTTTTCTCTTCCATTTAATATTTTTTTTGTTTGCAGAAAGCAAAATAAATTAATCATGAACTCCTCAAAATTTTAGTTTAATTTTCTGCAACTTAAGTAGCTTATGCCATCTGTGTGCTATTCAGTCAGGGGTCTTTTTGCTACTCTGTGGGAGACATCTGCAGTGAAACCATGTGCACCTCCCTGCTGATGCTGACCTACACTCTACTGACGCTATATAAAGCCTATTCTACAAGGAAGAATGTCAGGAATAATTAAACTCTTTTCATTTCGGAAAGCTAGTTCTTTTAAAGTCTAAGTTTATACAATATGTGCTAACAGCTTCCTTTTTTGAGTTTTTTTTCCCCTTTATGGTTTGTTGTAGGCAAAAAACAGAAAGAAGCCCATTTTATTTGTGACATTTAAAGTGTAAATAAGTGAAAAGAAATGCCAAACAAAATGTAAAAGCCTTTTAGATACAAAAGTCAACAGACGAGAGAGGCTCTATACAAAGAATCTCGACTGTGCGTCAGAGCTAAGTATACTTAACATTCTGCAGCAGCAAGAAAGGGATACAAACTATTTTGTCCACACTGAAAAAAAACCTATGTAGGACATAGAGAAACAGCATGGTGTGTGTGAAATGGCAATGACCATGGCAACAACCCCTCCAGCCAAGGATGTAATTTGCCGGATTTTCAGCTCATTCACTTCTCCCCACTCAGCTGATGAATCTAGCAGCTAGCAAAATGTTCCTCTAAAAAAACACATGTTTACTCTCAATCTATGTAACTGTCTACCACAGTAAAAGGTACGCTCTTGAGGACAGTTTGTGGGAAAAGCTATGACAAGCTGTAATGTGTGTCACTAAATGCGTGTGAGTGTTTGTGTGCTCAGACTTGAGAGTGGGAATGAGTGTCGAGTATTCCCTTCCCTGGGGCCACACAGATGCCTATTACACACCGTCATCATCTCCCATCTGTCCCTGCAGATGCCCCTGCTGGGAAAACTGGCAACTTCCGTACTTCCACTTTCTTTACTACTACTGCAGATAGATAGACAGGTTGGAAAAATCTGGGAAATTTTTTTTTTTTGAAAAAAGAAAAGCTCTTTCTTTAACTATTTACTGTCCTTTAAAGTCTGAATTATGAAAAAAAAAGCTTTTTTTTAAAAAGTACGGCAATTCCCTTAATGAATCCAGTATCATAGGGCAATCATCATTATAATTAAGACCCAAAAAATATAGACAAACCAGCCTTTATATATTTTCCAAGCATTTTGCAGTATAAGTCATTTTAAAACAGGATTCTTTAAAACAAAAAACGTGTCCAAAGTCAGTCAACTCAAAAATAATTACAAAACAGTTTATGGAGGATGACGAAAATAGCAGCATTATCTGTAAATCTGTCAAAGAACTAATGTAATGGATTAGTTCTCTGACAAAAACTAAGGAAAAGATGCTGAATGGATCTGTAACAACAGAGGTGTGACAAAAGGCACTTAAAAAAAGATCTACGCAGGAATTTTAAGTTAGCTCTGTATAAGTAAGGTCAAGCAAGACTAAAGTATCTTTTCCAAACAAATACAGTCTCTCTTTTAGAAAACAGATGTAACTTTAAGAGAAGGAACAACCCAAATATGTTGGATCACAGCACAGAAAATGGCTTGAAAAAATAGTTTATGTAAAATTATGTATAAGGTAATAAAGTAACTGGATATAAGAGTGAAGTTTATTGGGTACTGTAAGTTAATGCTTACTTATGCTCAATCACTTGCTGTAGCAACATCAAATTTTTTTCGTGTGTCTAAGATAATTAAAGGAGATAAAATTGATCTGTAGTTGTTGACTAAGTATTTACTAAATTTATACAAATTTTTTAGGAGCACACGTGTTGCTGAAAGAAAACAAAGTTTTAAGTTGTGTTTTTTTCCATTTAGTGATGGGAAATCCATTGTGCTTGAAACTGGAATGATCAATTACTGGAGTGCAGTTAAACCCTCATTAACAAAACAGTGACTGATTACAGGAGAGAAGTGAGATTGTTACTATCAGTGTGTAGCGCTTCACTATAAAGCTATGTAGCAATAAAGACAGTTTAGAGAAGAAGGACTTCCGATACTATTGTCAGTTTTCCAATGCTGGTCAGAACTGGAGCAGAAACCTTTTAGAATTGAATAGGTAGAAGTTTTGTAATTCAGATTCTCTTTTTTGACTGATGGTCCATTCTCCTCTGATTACTTAAACAGCCTTATATGCTCATGCAATACCAGTTATTGCACGCTGTCAACAGTCCTGACTTCCTCCCCCTTACTGGTTAAATTATGGGTTTAATTTTCACTTTATGAATTGAAATTCAATGTGGAGAGTTCGGTTTCACTACATTATTCTTTGGTGTCGGATGTGTTACACATTAAGCATATTTTACCATCACTCATCAGTAACCTTATGAATTTACAATCTGCTAATAGATAAAAGTGTTTTAATCTACTGTTCTAAACATACTGTAGCTGATAAGAGAAAAAATATCATGTAATGCTGTTTAAAAAAGAAACTATCCAAAATTAAGTTGATATAAACTATAAAGACTGAGCAAAACCCAGAAAATTTATTTTTTCTTCTTTCAAGTACATTAAAGGTTACATATACAGAATAAGCTAGAATTGGCAATCAGTTATATTCATCTACTCCAAGAGTGTCTCTATCCTTGGCTCTTTTGTTCTCCTTTAAAATGGTCTGGAATCAATTTTCTTTGATAAGAAATACAAGTGCTCTACCCCAGCCCAGTTTCTTTGAGCACATTCTAAAAATCTAGCTGGCAATTTATAGTATAACAAAGAGCTAATGTTCTGAATGAGAGCACGTAAAAGTAAAATTAGGATAAAATATTTTTCACACGGATTCGGTATGAACTATCCCTTTAAATTGCTAAATTTGTAACCTGAAGACCAAGGAGACAGCAGTACATGTGAACTGTTCAGATCTGGCATGCATTTATCCTCATTAGCTAAAGCATAGAATATGTACACAATGAATAGCACTGACCTGAGCCTGCGTGGATGTCCAGATTAGCAGTGCATGACAAGCCAGAAGTTGGGGAGGGAGAGAAAACAACGATAATGATTATTAGTTTAAATTTAGCCTGCAGTGACAGAAATGTATAACTCTGCCTTAATTTGACTTTCAAAACTGTCGCAATCTGCCCAATATTTCATTAACGAGGGTAAAGGATGTTAGGTGCCTCATGATGTGCAGGGACTGAAAGTATTGATCAAAACACTCGATTTATAGCGCTTAGAGAGTTTTGAAGTGCCAGAGACAGCTGTAACAGCTGTGCGTTGGCTGTGTCTGCAGTTGAGGGACAACTCCAAGAAACAAACTTGTCTGGAGATAGTGAGCTTAAATAAACATATGCTCCTAAAAGCTTTTTTCTAGACTTCTAGATGTTAATCTTAAAGACTGAATGAATAAAAAGACATAACTACAATAAGGGAATGGCTTAGGCACTGTACAAGATAATTTTTGATTAAGTTGACCATTTTAGACTTTATGCTAACTCTGTGTATAACAGCTATGATCAGAAATCAACATACATTAGATCAATGTTGTACTTTTGAATTATTTATTTGAACTGTTCTTTCTTGATAGTCCAATTAAAACGTACATTGAATTGTATTCACTTTCAACCATTTGACCCAAATCTTTAGATGATGAAAAATTTGTGAGAATGTTCAGAAACAAAATGTGGACCACCAAGGCTCAAACTGATCAGGATGTCCACAGTGAGTGCAGTTAATGATTAATATTGAGTCATATTCAGTTCATGAACAAGCTGTTGTTCCAAACTTCAATCATTATCTTTATTTACAACTCAAGACATAGAAAATCTGATTCTGCATTTATCTGGAAAAGAAAGTCCAGAGAGATCCAAGTTCAAATCCTGAACACACTCAACAAACTGTCAAGCTGTGATGGAAACATCTGAAGTGGGGATAAAGTTAAATAATAAAGCTATATGTAAGATGTTTTAAACATAATGTGCTACGCATGAGATCCCATCAGCTCTGACATCACAGAGTTCCTGAAGGCCATGCTTAATTCCTACACAAATAAAGGGTTTCTTTAAAGATTGACTCAGGATATTTGTGGAAATATTTGTGATTTTAGATTATTTCTTTATTGAGCCTCTGTGCATACTTTTGATTTTATGTAGATGAAAAAAAATCCACAATAAGTTTGAAGTTTTGCAGTCGATTCTTGTTTATCAAAAATAATTGAAATTGTTGGCCGATCATTTCACTCTCAATGAAAAAAATGGTTTAAATATTACAGAAAAGCCCTAGAGTTAATATAAAAGTTGACTGAAGATAAGTAAATGTAAACCTTTGACTGGAACTGTACTTATTAATAAATAGGAAAGTTATGTGACAAAAAAAAAAAAAAAAAAAAAAAAATCAGATTTTTTTTGTCAGATGTGTTTATGTTTTAATTTATAAACTAGAACTAGGGATGTGGAATCTGAGGTATTCCTCCAAACATGAAAAGTTGATTTTGTACCAAAAAGTTTTATTTTTGTTTTATCTGATCAAAGGATTTTCTTCCACTCTTCTTCTGGATCATCTTTAAGATCTGGCCAATTTCAGACAAGCCTGGACAATTACTGGCTTAGGCAGGGGGACATGCCAAGTACTGGAGGGTTGGAGCCACTCATGGAGTAGTGTGTTACTGATGGCAGCCTTTGTTACTTTGGTCATATCTCTCTGCAGGTCCTTCATCAGATGCCTCTGTGTAGTTCAGGAAATTTTGCTCACCATTCTCATAATCATTTTTATCACACAGGATGAAATCCTGCGAATCAAGGGAGATAATCAGTGGTATTGCATGTCTTCCATTCTCTTATAATTATTCTCACAATTGACTTCTACACACTTTCCTAGTAGTTTCTTTAAAAAAAAATCATCCAGTGTGATTGTTCAGATGTATTATTTTTTTGTCTCTTATATTTAAAGGATACCTATGATAAAAAATTAAGACCTTATTAAAAAGAAAACAATATTTGCTCTTTAACCTCACCTGTCTTATCCATGGTACCCTAAAAGAGTGTATACAGGGCAGAGCTATTTAGAATTGTGACTGAGGCAACGACTCAGAACAACTTGATCAACACAGGATCCTTATATGTTTGGAGGCAAGTGGGCTGGAACAATCCAGCAATCTACCCCCTGCAGCATAACAGCTATTAAAAATCATTTTACTTTGTGGATGAAGGATGACTGTTTACTTTTCAGTTTGTCACAAAGCTTTACAATCACATTATATAGCTGCTCAGCAACACTTAAGAAACAAACTTCTGGAATACAAAAATAAAAAGGGTCCTAGGCGGTTTATACAGGCTCCACTGCAGAATTTGTTTCAGTGAAAATACAGAGAAAATGGGACATAGGAATTGAAGCAGAGCATGCTTCTCTTCACATCTCTGTCATTGTGACTTTGACTTTTAAAAGTCTGAGCTGTTGCTCTCAGTTGAAGGATTCAGAGAAGGATCTATCATTAAAGAAATTCAAAAAAATACATTTTTACAAAAGCATTTTTAAAGATAAACTGTGCAAATACACATTGTTCATGATAAAAGCAAAAGGGTTTTGATTTTAATTAATTGTTTTACGAACTCACAATGCCTTACAAATCTTCCAATGTCTGAAAGTTTTTCATAAACCAAAATCTTTGTTAGTAATTTTTTATGAATTCTTATGTATCTATCTAACAGAGGTGGGCACATAAGTGTGAAGTAGAAAAATAATGATGCATTAATTCAAAACAGAAATCTTACAAGTTTTAGATTAACAAACTTTATTCCAATATTCAGAAATGAAATCTATTCTAAATGAACTGTCTTCAGAAGTCATTCGTTACGAAGCTCCATATGTGTGTGGTTTAATAGAAGTATAAATCCAGCGGCATCATTAAACAAACAGTACCATGAAGATGAAGGAAAACAACAAAAAGAGCAGAGGTATTGATACTGTATGTTCCGTACAGTGTTAGGTGGAGAAATAGTTTAGCAAACTCCAAGAACACTGTTCAACCCATCATCTGATCATTTAAAGACAATAAGGACAACTACAAACACACCAAAATGCTGTGTCTACCTTGACTGACAGATAATACAAAGAGAATATTAATTAGAGGAGCAGCTAACTGCCCAATGACAAATGTGATTTGCAGCTCAGGTGGAAGCATGTACTGGCAGGAAAACTCTTTAAACCGTCACCGTTATCAGGCCTAGAGCCATTGAAAGATCTGTCAGAGGTTTACTTAATACAATGTGAGGGACACTGCAATCATATGAAAGAAGGTGCCTTCTTGCATATACAGAGTATACTGTATACTAACACACAGCAAACCCATGATAGCACATGATGATTTAATGCTATATTGCTGTGGGGATTTATTTATTTTGTTACCTTGAGCATTAAAGAGAATTTTGGTTGGAGCTCATGAATAGGTGTATGCAAAAATATTTTTTAAAATATTTAATCCTGTTGAGAATCTGAAGGCTTGAAATGCTTCAAACTGGGAGGTTTATTTTAATAAGTACAATGTCCTGAAACACACAGCCAGAGCTACAATGTGGGAGATAAAACTTGACTTACAATGCTCAAATAAAAGTTTAAGCCTAAATCCAACTGAATATTTGTGTTAAGACATAAACAATACTATTCACATATCCTTAACATTCATTCTAACTGAGGTCTGACCGACGTATCTAGCAAAGGCAAATGGTTCAAGGGATTATGCAGTTGGTTTCGCATATGAAGACTTTAAGCTGAAATTAAAATTAAAATTATTCCATAAAGTTGAGGGTAGGTGGGAAAGAACAGATATGCTCCCCAAACAGTTCAACTATTTGTTTGAGAACTTTTCTGAAAATAATTTCAATCCCATTTTAATATTATGTACTGTCAAAGATAGGCTCTCTGTGTAGCTTTCTCTATCCTGTTCTTTTTTCTGAAAAGAGAACACTAAAAACACTAAAAACTCTTTATAACTTATATGTATTAAATACGGTAACTAGGAGACATGACAACAGATTTTGATAGACATTGTTGCTTAGAGTTACAGAAGGCAGCTGCATACCCCTGGGCTCACTTCTAGGGGAAGTGGCCTCAATTAACAGTTAAAGAGGCATTTTATACATCTCCACTCTGCCACATCATCACATTTTACATCATACACGTTACCAGATGAGTAGACATCCATGGATCCAGCCTTATCAAAATATTACACTTTGTTCTTAGCTGAAGGACAATGTTCTCATTCCATTCCCAAATATTTGCTACATATAGAATGAAGATTATAACTGTATATCCAGACAGAGGAACTGCCTTAATTAGATAAACTATTTGGGAAAATACCAGCTCCGACATGCAACAGGCAGCTATTATTAAGGTGCAATTAGCTCACACATCATCAATGATAATTATCCTATCAGTTCTGTTTTGTCTTGCTCTATCACATACAATTCTAAAAAGAAATACACTAAAGGTTTTGGTTGTAATGTGACAAAAACTAAAAATATTTCATTAAGTCTCAGGTTTTGTTCAAGACCACTGACTTTTTAATAACTAGTTTTATGTCATCTAGTGAATTTAGCTATATGACAAATTTAAGTAGACTGTGTGTGAGTCGATGCTTATCTGACAATTTGACTCATATGACTTGAAAAGGAATAAATCAATTTTGATTCAATATGGTACATCTGAAATTTGGATCTTCTATGTTGACAAGTGCCTTGAGATGACATTTGCTGTGAACTCGCTCAAAAAAAGATGAACTGAACACAGAATCAAATAAATATATAAATTTGCAAGATATGTACTTGCACTTAAAATATCAAATAAAAATTAGAATATTTTAGCAATTCAGTCCATTGAAAATTGTTTTATAGGCTATGAGCAAATGGTGAAATACACAGCTTAACGACTCAAATGGATTGAAAAATAACCTACCGTTTTGGTTTTAGACTATTCAATAAACTTAAAGCTTTTGTG